AGGATATATACCAAATTTATTATACTGCTTGTCTCTGAGAAAGGAGACAGAGAGAGATGAAACATTACGGTGTGTCCTCATCCACCTTATTCACCGGATCTGGTATTGTATGACTTCTGGCTCTTCCCCAAAGTCAAACTGATTCAGGACATCGAGGCAGCTACAACAGCGCAACTAAAGACATTTACGAAAGAGGACTTTCAGAACTGCTTCAGAAAGTGGCAAGAATGATGGGATAAGTGTGTTTGAAGTGAGGGGGAGGTATTTTGAGAGCAATTAATGGCAATGTGTCTTTTACTATAATAATTTTTTTTTAACATTCCACCATATTGTTTGATCACACCTTGTGTATTGCTGATGGGTTTTTTTTTGAAGATTTTATTGGGGAATTGAGGAAAGGGAACAGTGTTAGAGAATTGAGGAAGGGGAACAGCCAAATTGTTGTCCTTCAATCTTAGTTGTGCAGGGAGCAGCTAGCTCAGCTCCAAGTCTCCAAGTCCAGTCACCATTCGGCTGCCAATTGGCAGCTCAGCTCAAGGTGCCATGTTCAATGTTAGTTGTGGGTAGGCGTAGCCCATCATCCCATGTGGGAGTCGAAACAGAAACCTTGTTGTTAGGAGCACATGCTCTCAACAGCTGGCCATCCTGCCTCCTGTTGGCAGCTCAGTGACAGCTCAGCTCAGGCGCAGCTCACTGGCCCATGTGGGAATCGAACCGGTGACCCTGTTGCTCAGAGCTCATGCTCTTAACCAGCTGAGCCACTCGGCCGGCCTGCTGATGTTTTTTTTTAAAGCACTCAAATCCAGTCAAAGTGACCAGGGAATATCCTAAGGACTGGAGTGCAAAAGGAGACAGCAACCTAGTGAGAGTAAGTATCATATCATATACAGCTGACACAGCCTTTGGGTCTTTTGGCTGGAGACATCCCTCTATAAGGATGGCTCTATCAGACAGTTGTCACTTGTCGACACTACCCATTAAGAGGAGTCAACTCTCCCTCTTCTGATTTCATGGTCACTTGGCGATCTTTTAATATAATTTGCCTTCCTTTGTAGAGTATAAGTGGTGGGAATGTGCTGACCAGAAACCATGGATATTTGGGGCATTTATGTCTCTCAGTATAACTGGAATTCTGTTTTTGGCTGTTTCCCTTAGCCTGATCACTTCTAGGGGCATCAACAGAATCAACTTTCTGGACCTACAGTGCTAAGACTAGACCTAGACCCTGAAGTTGTTGATCTCTAAAGTAAGTGCTATTCAGTGAGACACAACCTGTGGAGTCAGGTGGTTTCTTCCATGATGGGTTAAAGGTAGAGGAAGGAATAACCACCATCTTTCCTTTCCTGACATCTAGCATGTGTTCTACATATTACACCACGGCTATTTTTTAGAGAATGCTTACATACATAGCTACACAGCTATTTTGGACATATTGCTATTCAAGAAAATATGAATTACCTACCTCTGAATATTCCATTTTTCTTTTCTTAGCTCTCTCATCTTGGAGATGGTATGTATGGTTGTATCATTGATATCTATGAAAATTAAATTAAAAGGATTGATAGCTTTCCTTCTGCAGTTTTCATACCCTTCTCCAAATCCTATTAGTTTATTCAGTAGTGGTTGTAGTGGGAAGTGAATTTTGTCTATTGATGTGTGATGATCCTTATCTTATTCAGTTTATACAGACTGTAAGCATCATCAGAAATACTAGTAGAGTTGACCCTTGAACAATGTGGGAATTAGGGGAGCCCGCTGCCTACCCAGTTGAAACTCCATGGGTAACTTAAGTGGGTCTTTTGAATACTTGGATTTCTAATTGCCAGTTAACCCTTGAACAATGCAGGTTTGAGCTGCTCCGGTCAATTGAACTTGTAAGGGTAGATTGAAAAAAATCCATGTGAAAGTAGACCAGCACAGTTCAAACCCGCTCAACTGTATTGTGTATAAATTGGTTTTTTAAAAATTCAAAGGAGTATATCTAGAAACAGTATTTTTATGTTACTTTGTACTACTAAAAAAAAGTACAAATGTAAAACCAAATTTATATACAGATTTTAAAAATCTAATTCAAAATAGCATAATGTGCATATTATATTGTTTATTGAGTTTTTTAATATTTATTTACAATTACTTTTAATTCTTCAAAATTATTTACACTACTTTTTTCTGAAACTATATTTACATTTAAATAGAACTTTATGCAATTATTTACATTTCAACCCATTACAGAAAGTTTAACATTGGAATGTCCCCTTAGGAAAGTATCTCTGTAACAGAAAATATAACAGAAGATATGGGTATGGAGTGTGGAGTGGGTAAAATTATTAACAATGGCTTTAATATAAAAATAAACTTAATAGTAATACTTGTTGAAGATAGTGACCAATGAAATAATTTTAACTGTGATGAACATAATGAAGCATGCATATAATGCTGTTAAGATAACTTCTCTTTAATTACACCGAAGCGTGTAAAGGAATTCACTCTGTGCTTAACTCTTGAAAATAGTCATTATTATGTGTTGGGGAAAATTGTGAGTCTTAAAAACCCATCTGTGTTAACAGCCAATCCTGTTATTGATCAAATAATAAATTAATGTAATTTAATTCCACTTAGAAAAAAATAACATATACATACAAATAAAATATAAAAAACTCCCAACTAGAAAAAAGTAAATAAATTTAGCAATTTTAAAATAAGTATTATTTAAATAAAGCCAATGACTATCTTAGCAAATGAGAAGTTTTCATTTCCACCCACAATAGACAGACACCAACCCATTATAAAACTGCCATGACTTATGTTTTGATGACCTCCAGAAAGGGGTTCCTTCTATGTTTAGCATGCTACTAAGGTTTCCTACCTCAACAATAAAGCATCCTTATCTATCTGGTCAACATCAACTTTGCTACTTAGAGTGTGTTAGACTCAACTGAATTATAAAAATAAAATGCCTAGTAACCATCAGTGTTCTAAACCCCATTGTTCATAAAGGAGAATTGGTAACATTACAATAATCAACAAAGTGGCTATTCTATTTTAATCTGCAGCTGTTCAAATAAAATGGCTTTACTGCAACAGCTTTAAAAAAAATATAAGTGCACCAATGCATTCCTGCTTATATTTCCATATAATTTGAATAACAGGATAGTTTAAAACAGGTGTTAGCATCTCTCAATATAATCATGTCATTGTCAGCACTATGCACCCATGCATTTACATTTAAGTAACCCTATATGAGGTTTTCTGTCTGTGTCACATGTTTTATTGGTGTATCTTTTCCTTTATTTAAACTTAGCCCATGAAAATAGTGTTTGTTTCATAAACGTAAGCCAAATACATTCATTGAACATGTAATATAATTCCATTTCCATCAAAAAATGAAGGTGAAATAAAGTCACTTTATTTGGATTTCAGTCTTGCTTTCTTTGATTTTGTATAATATTGCTTTTTCTAAGGGGCAGGTGGAACCACAAGTGCCCTGAAATCTTTCGCTGGTAGGGACATTTTGATGTTTATATCACTAAGACTTAGAATCTTTAAGGGTAAACAAATACCACTGGGGAGGATTGGAGTTATACTGCAATAACTGAAGCACATGTCCTACACACACACACACACACACACACACACACACAAACACACACTGCTATCTGTGCTCATGTAAAAATATCAGGGAGGGGGGATTTGCATTCACTCATTGAGTCCCATTGTAACTTCTTGCAGTTGTGAGCAAGTATGCAAAGGTAGTATCCTAAAGTGTGACTGTTGTCACAACTCTACATGTTAAAATGGAACAAAAATAAGTTCACCACTTCATTAGATCTGTTTTAAGTGTTCTCTCTATACTGATGCCTTCTGCTTCCCTTTCTTTTTCTTTGTCCCAAATCTCTTTTTCTTAATTGATTAAAGTCTACGACACAGTTTGTGTGTGTGTTTGTACTTATAAATTTCTGTGATTATGGTTCCTAACGTAAAAACTGCGTTAGCAAAGGGCTTTATATTTGTCTCTTCAATAACAACTTTAAATTATGTTTCTAACCAAAGGTGTTTTTCTCACCAGAAAAACAAAGTTTTAGTTCTTGGTTTACGGTAGTTAACAACCAAACAAAAAGATCATTTTGGATATTATTATTGTTAATCATGTAAAGCTGCTGAATTTCTTGCTGAAAGCAACAAACTAATATTTATTTTCTACCTAACACCTATTATTTGCATATTGGATTTTATACACAAGACACTCCATGAAAGAGAATTCCATTTAAAAGTCACAAAATACAGTCTTTGATTAACAGCTACTTTTAATTATAAACCAAAATAAATGATTTCATTAAGTTCCTCTCCAAATCTGTGACAATACTTTGTGAAAAGCTAAAGTTAACCAGTAAAACTGTAAGTTACATGAGGGCAGGAACTCAGTTGCTCCTGTTTCTTGCTCAATCCCAAGCAGCTAGAACTGGGTCAGTGAACATTTGTTCTGAACACTTTAAAAAAAGTACCTTTTATTTTGAAATGGTATCCACGTATGGGCCTGTTGCAAAGTCAAGAGCGGGAAAGGGGCATCAGAGAGGAGGATGCAAAATCGGACCCTGCAGCAGGACAGAGAGGAATCCAGAGGAGAGAGAACAACATTGGAAGGTAAACCCTAAGAACTGGTATGAAGCAGAAGTGAGTGCCCTCGGACAGCGCTGCGGGAGGCAGGAGGGGTCAGGCGGGAAGTAGCCAAGATTCGGGGTACTCCTTCTCAGGGAGCTGATTAGGAGAAAAACTCACGTGAAAATAAAGCCGCAGTCACCTGCCTCCCACGTGAGAGTCCCCGAGCCCCGGCGAGACCCCCATCCACTCGGCTCCCGGGGGGAGCTTAACCCGGAGCGAGGCAGGTAAGGCGGAGCATGCGCGCGGGGAGGCCAGGGGAGGCTCCGCGCCCCCACCCCGCGGGCGCTGCCCGGCCGGCGGCGAAGCGGCTCGGGCGGGCTGAGTCCGGTTGCCTCGGCTGGCGCCCAGGTGCAGTCACTGCGCGGCGCTGACGGCGGCGCTGCTCCGCTCGGGGTAAGGAGGCCGCCGCCGCAGGAGCGGTGTGTGCGCGCGACCGCGTGAGCGCCC